GACCCAAAAAAAAAAAAAAAAAAAAAAAAAAAAAAAAGGTGGTAGAAAAATCACAACAACAGCCAGGGCTGAAATATCACGCTCACCTCTCGCTTCTTCTTCTCCTCCCTCTCCCTCCTCACGCGCTCCAGCTCCCTCTGCAGCTCTGCATCTTCGTCATCCTCACTGTCGTCGTCGTCGCTATCCTCGTCCTCCTCTTCGCTGCTATCATCGGCATCTATATCTCTTGTTTCTTCTAATATCCTCCGCCGCTTCGCCTCATAGTCCTCTTCTCCGTCGCCAGCCGGCGGCAGTGGTCTCTTTTCCGCGGCAACAGACACGTTTTCTTGGTCGTCATCTCCGTCACCGGGGACAGGGGCGCCCTTCTTCTTAGAGAAGTGGGCTGCTTCGGCGGCGAGCAGCTCGGCTGCGAGATCGCGAGAGGGTTCGTCGTCGGCGTCGCCTCCCTGGCCGGCTTTGCGGAACTTGAGTTGCGTGTGGGCGGGTTGGAGGCGCTGGTGGTAGGCTGGGCCGCGGAGGGCTTCTTTGCCGCGCGCCTGGGAGGATGGGGGTTAGTTTGATAGTTTTGCATTCAGAATCGAGGGTGTGTTCTTACCGGGTCGAATGTTGGCCTGTGTGCGGTAGTCATGGTGGCGACAGGAGAAGGAGGCTGGTTGTGGTGAAGTAAAGTTGGCGCCTCGATGTTGGATTTGGAGGTTGATTTTGGAGTGATGATGCTCTTGGCGCGGGCCAATCACTGCCTGCCTGGGCCAGGCACTTGTATCCACCCGGGAGCTGGACGGATGACTTCAATTCTGCCACTTACACATCTGGGCAGTTGTCTAAGATTAAGGAACATCCATTCGGCTTTTTTTGCAATGAGGAGTTTTTTTTTTAAAGATGACTTGGTGTGGTATTTGATACTGCGCGCGCGTTGTCGACTATTCAGGCATTTGCCTGTATAGATACATCATGAATGGACAATCTCCATGTCCTAGGTTAAATTTGGTCTAAAATTGGGTGCAGCTACAGAGTACACATAACGGAGAAAAGGTCGGTAATATCTATCTCTCACATCTGGGCCATACCAGCTCATCCATCCACAAGCCTAATTCCTTGGCCGCTTATGACTAACAGGTACCCTTGACGGCATCGTTCCATGAGACAAAAAACTGCGAACTGAGGCCGTATCCGGCGCCACGTCTTGCATATGATACGTCTCGTCCAACAAAGCAAACGAGACAGTTGGGAGCTTGACAAACAACAGTGCGGCTGCTATCACAAGCAAATAGCCACTCATCACCACGTACGGCAAGCCCATCCAGACTCCTCCAAGCTTCATGCCCATCGAAAACATCCATGCCAGCGCTGGAGCTGCCACTAGTAGGCCCATGGTTTCTGTAATCCCAATCACTGTTTGTAGCTTCGACGTGTTTTGCGCACTGGTATGATACGCAGCCAGAGATCGACACAGTGACGGAAGTCCTGCGCCGAGGGTCTTGACAATCAGCCCGCTTATAACAATGGGCATGTTTGTTCCCGCAAGAAGCAAGAACCCAGCTGCCAGAGCGAACGCAGATGCCTGGGCTAGTATTTGGTCCTTCTCACCGGCTGAGAAACCCTTCACCACCACACCGGAGACGAGGAGCTTCGAGAGCCCCGGAATGACGAGCAAAACGACAAATACATTCACCATGCTTGGCAACGAGAGCAGGTAGCCTGCTGCTGCCATGGACCAATCGGACCGCTTACTCACGTATTGAATAAAGAGTGCGCTGGTGGCAATTCCCACCGGGGAGGGACACGGAAATGCGAACAAGATAAGACTTAGCGATGGCTGCCTGACCATGCCGAATGCCTCGTTGACTTGATCTTTGAACTCCCAGACGTATGAGTTGACGATGCCGTACAAAGAATCGTCCCGTGACACGCTCCAATCCTCTTCCTGCTTCCGCGCGGGCAATGTCTCGGGAATGAAGACCATGACACCAATAGCGAGAAGCAAGATGAGCAGACTGAGTGCAATGGGAGTCCACGGGGACGAGGTCTTCATGAGGGACGAGGCGGTTAGCGGGCCGAATAGACTGCCGAGGAGACTCCCGAGCGACACGGTCAAGAAGGCCGATACTCTAGTTCGTGTTCAGAGAGCAGTTAGAGGAAAAACCAACGGTTTCTGGATGGCGCTGGTCTTACCTGTCTGCTTCGCAAACAACGTCAGCCACGACAGAGTAAATGGCCGACACCAAAACGGTGCTTCCACCGCCGACGAGAGCAAAGACGGGTGAAAAGAGAATGATATATATGGAAATTCTTTGACCCAGGGCTAGAACGGCAGCTATCCATAAGCCGGATACGACGATACCACAGAGGGAGAGCCACAAGACCGGCTTGCGACCTTTTCTGAATACGCCGTTAGTGCCTGACTTGAGACCTGTGCAACTGTCTGGTCAGGACGTAGGGATGGGATCCCGGACCAAGGGGCCTTACTTGTCTGCGTACGCACCATATGGTAATGCCACAAAAAGACCTAGGAAAATCAGGTGTCCCTCCCTAACATGTACCCCTTCGCGGTGTACACTTACCAACAACAGCCTCTATCATAGGCAGCCATCCATTCAAGTAGGCCAGTTGCGACTGAATCTCGTCAGTCTTGCAAAGAATCTCGTCAATCTTGTTATGGCGCGTTTCCCCATCCGACCAGGCTAAATAGTACCTCTGACAGAGGTTGTCCTCAATCAATCTCGTAACGGGTACTTCGCCCAACGACCCAGAGAAGGACAACCCAAAGACCATCAACGACAACAGAAAGTAAATGGTTCTCGGCCGTCGTGCCTGAAAGAAGGAAGCACACCGAGGCCCTCGCTGCTGGGAGCCGCTGCCGCCGCCATCGCCGCCGCCTTCCTCGGGTAAAAGTGGTGTGGTCTCTTCCATCTTGTGTCTTCTGGCGGCAGAGAAGATAACAGCAGAGAGGTACAATAACCAACTCGAGGTACTCAGCCCTATATGAGGTACGAGAGGCCGCCATGTCGGAACATACATGCTACAAAAGGGGCAAGCCTGCTGCTTTTACTGCCCAGGATAGTGCATGTCCCTTCGAGACGTTTTAAATGCCAATCATTGCAAATGACGCGTCCCGGCATTGGATATGGGCATGTTCAGATGAAACCAAGGCCATCCACGTCATGGTGTACGTGCAACGGGTACGAGATCCATGTATGTTAGGGCCGGGCGGCATGGTCAATTGTTCTTTACAATGGGCAAAAATAAAGCTCACGCAACGTATTTTACGGACAGCAGTGAATGTGAAAAAAAGTGGCGAGAGATGTTTACTTATTCTGCTCCTTGCACAAACTGACAAGTTGCTTGATTGAAGACGGGAATAGTTACGGGTAGCAGATCCCCCTCAAACGAAGACAGTATGTAAATTGCGGCTACCACACCCAGATCGGACCAATCTGGCCACAGGTTCTAGCCAGTAGGAATGCTCGGGTACCTGAGGCTTCGAAACGCCATATCCCGGGAGACGGTGATGTTACTCAAATGAAACAATATTACTACTGGCGGTGGCCCCGGTGTTTGCCAAGTTCGGCTTGTGAGGTTGGACAATCGTTCATGATTGTGAAGCCTGGTCCCTAGCGGGAAGGGGGAGTGTGAGGCGTGTAATGTTATATAGATTAAATATGATGCGTCAATTGGAAAGAGTACCTTGTAGTTTTAGACGAGTCAAACTTGATGCGGCCAAGGGAGTTGGTCATCAGCATACTGCACACAATGGCCCAAAGCAACAAGGTTAGCAGAGCAATTCGCACGGGTTTTATGGGGTCAAGACTCAAGGGGAGGTAGGGGATGGATATCGGGACCTAGATGCGTTTTTCAAGAAACCTACATCTTTCATCATCGTTCTGTTGAGCTTTCAAGAGAGTCCTTTTGAATGAGGGGCCTCTAGGTTTGTATATAAGGGCATGAAGATGCGCTTAATACCAGGGTACACAGAAGCGCGCAGCACTGTGATATACCATTAGTACTATATTTCAGCACCATTGACATGTCAATTGGCAAAATATATTCTGCCATGGAGGGCAACTCTCTCTTCTTCCTTTTCCTGAAGATTTCCGTGCTCACGGCCCCTTTAAGGGGTGGCGGCAATGGTAGCTCATCCGGTTCATGCACGTATGTAGTAATCGACTATAGAACGCATGTATTTAGCAGGCACGCCTACCGCGGGTTATGCATCCGTTTTCTAGCATAATCCCCGATTGCCTACAAGTATGTACGACAATAGAAGAGGCTCAAGTGTTCCCAACGCCTACTTCCTTCTTTGACTGATCCATGTCATTTGACTCTCCGAAAATACATTAACTTACCGTGCATGCAACATCTGCAAGTCGACATGCATCAGCATCCAATTGGAGGGGGCCCTCGTGGGGGTTGCTCATGCAAGAGCTTGTTTCACGACTCAAAAGGCTCATGGCACCAACCTTTTCCGGGGCGGATTGTCTTTGGTCGCAGCCAGTGACGTGGATGCACGCGGATGTACGGAGTAGCAGGCAAACAATGGCAAAGGCGCACAAAATCTGCTGACTCACCCATGGCTGAAAGAGGCCAAGGATCGTCAGTCACCACCAGACCACACCACATCGCCAGAACATCCAGTTGTGTTCAAATTTACCCACTGTCCGGCATACAGGAGGACCCGTGGCGGAAAGCCACTCTATGTTCCCTTTTAGATGCAACTTGTGACAGCGTACCGTCCTTTCAGTCTCCTTTATGCGCCGACCAACGCCTTCTCCTTGATACTTTTGCGCTGCTCTGCCATGATTGCGACGTTGCACGCGACAATGTCTTTCGACTTACTTGGCTCATCAGGAGACCCCGTTTGTCCCCCATTTCATTTTGGATCGACTCAACTGCCTACCTAGGTAGGTAGATTGCCATCATGGTTTGGAGCACACCGGTCGAGAAGCGTCAATCTCCTTGTCCGTTGCTGTTTGTTGGGTTTCATGAGGACTTGTCATGCGCAACCTACAGCATTCCTTCCGACTGCAGATTGTGATTTTCGCTCCCCAGCTGGAACTCGTCATGGAAAGAGACGCCCATCATTTAAGGGCCGCCATGTCTCGACTCCCCAGCATCTCCATCGGCAATTTATTTCGTCTTCCATTTCATAAAGCTCCTTTGTCCTCTAAACGCCACTGCTGAGCATTGTATTACTCGAATCCGACAGTGTTTAAAATGCGTTCATGCACGTTTCCACTTGCGGCGGCAGCCACTGCCGTCTTGGCGGCGCCTAGATATGCCATGTATTTTGACCAGTATGTCCCCCCCAGCCTCGCTCTCTCTCTGAGCGTAACTGACTATCCCTCCCCTAGATGGCACAAGGCAACACTACCCCCCAAGGACGTGACGGCAGGCGTCCACTATGTCATCACTGCCTTTGCTCCTTCAGAAACATTCAACTCCGGTAGCTCGTACCAACCTTTTATGCCGTTGGACCAGGTGCGGGCTCTGTTTGATGAGGGTACAAAGGTGTGCATGGCTATTGGTGGATGGGGTGACACGTCTGGCTTCAGTATCGGCGCTGCCACCGAGGAAAAGCGCAAGACGTACGCCAAGAACGTTGCTACCGCTTTGAACAAGCTTGGCTACGACTGTGTCGGTAAGACGTGTGTGGCTGCCTCCGGAGACGAATGTTTGCTGATATTGTGATAGACATTGACTGGGAGTATCCCGGCGGCAACGGCCAAGATTACAAGCAAACTCCCAATGATAAGAAGGTTTCAGAAATAGATACGTACCCGCTCTTGCTGCAGGAGATCAAGACTGCTATCGGAGACAAGGAACTGTCTATTGCCATTCCTGGAAGGGAGGGTGACATGATTGCTTTCACGGCTGAGCAGGTTCCCAAGATTGACCGAATTGTTGATTTTATCAATGCAAGTGCGACCCGCTCCGTGGCAGGCAAACAGTTGTTGGGCAATGAATTAATACGTGGCTGCTAGGTCATGGCTTATGACATTATGAATCGTCGAGATAACGCTACCAATCACCACACCTCTGTTGTGGATTGCGCCCATACTATTGACATTTACATCAAGCGAGGCATGACTGCCAGCAAGATGAATCTTGGATTCGCTTTCTACGCCAAGTACTTTACTACCAAGGACGGTTTCAAATGCACCGAGCCCACTGGCTGCGCTACGGCGGTTCTCGAAGCTGCCGATGGCTCTGACCCTGGCCTTTCCGGAGCCGTGACGTTTGAAATCGAAAACTACAACAATGCGGCTTTTGTCAAAGCCCTGCAGAATGGCAAGGAGGACGCGGACAAGGGGGGGATGTGGTACTGGGATTCGTCTACTAAGCAGTACTGGACTTGGGATGCTCCTGATCTTGTTGCCCGGAAATTCAAGGAGATTGTGGCTGCCAAAAAGCTGGGCGGTGTCTTTGCTTGGAGTCTGGCTCAAGATAGCCACGACTGGAGCCATTTCAAAGCCATGCAAGCTGGTGTCAAGTCACTGTGAGGTATGGTACGGATGGCATGTAGCGGTTCACCGGATTCCCAAGTTGTACATAGATCGAACTAGGTGATACTTGGTCCAAAGTGCAGTGCATATGGCAGGACCATCACAGGGAGAAAGAAAAGTACCACAGGCAACAGAGACCAGTCGATCAGTTGATGGAATATTACAATGTGCTTGGCAATCAGGGTCAGGAAGATGCTGAGTTGCATAGTCGATACATTAACAGCAAGCCTAAAATAAGACAAACTACCCACCTAGTACTCGAAAAAAAAAGCAGTCTCTCATGCCCCTAGATATACGGCTTGACCTGCTCCTCTGTCCATTCCCAATACCGCTTCCCTAGCTCGGGGTCAAACAGATCCTTGCGGGCATTAACCAAGCGCCCCCAAGGCGCAACTGAAACCCGGTTAGAACGAAACGAACAAGAAGGCGAATGTGGAATTAAAACATGGAACTTACTAAACATCTCAGACTTTTCCGCAGTAACATCGGGGTGCAGACCTGCGAACAGCTCTGTATAGGCACCAAACTTGGCGGGATACGCAATAAAATTCTACAACTCTCAGTAAGCACCGCTGTCTCTCGAGAATTCGCACAACGATCAAAAACGTACTGCCCAGAAGAAATTCTGCCATCCCGGCATGGACCTCTGCAAGTCTGTCGCCAAATTACCCGGATTCAAGCTCTAGATTTAGGGAAAACAAAAAAAAAAACCTGTCAGCTTTCGTCATTCTCCCCTTGCCAACGACTAGGCGCCTGCACTCACCACGCTGACGATGCCCTCGCCCTCGGACCTCCTGGCAAACTCCACGGCGTGCAACACGTTGCCGGCCTTGCTCCTCCCGTACTTGACCCAGGCGTTCTCGTCCTTTGCGTAATCCATGTTCTGGAAGTCAATGACGCCGCGGGGCGCCACGTCAATGGCGCTGGACGACACCCACACCACGCGCACCGAGTCCTTGGGCGCGGCGGCGGCGCTCTTCTTCAGCGCCGGACGCAGGAGCTTGGCGAGCAGGAAGTGGCCGATGTTGTTGGTGCCGAGCTGCAGCTCGTAGCCCTGGGCCGTCCTGGAGCCCGCGGGGGGCACCATGACGCCGGCGTTGAGCCAGAGCACGTCGAGGCGCGATTCGAGGCGCAGGAACTGCTCGGCGGACTTGGCAATGGTGCCGAGGTCGGCGAGGTCGAGGCGCAGGAAGACGAGGTCGCCTTTGGACCGGGGGTGCTGTTTCTTGAGGGAGGCCATGGCCGCCGTCGTCTTGTCCTGGGACCGCGCGGCCATGTAGACTTTTGCGTTGTGCTGGTATAGGATGGAGGCGAGTTGTTCGCCTACCCCGCCTGATGCGCCTGTGATGAGGAAGACCTGTGTGTTTATGGTTTTGCGGTTAGACAAATGGCGAGAGTTCTCGTGGTGTTTTTTTTTTTTTGATTTGGGGGGGGGGGGGGGGGGGGGGGGGGGCGTTGGGGTGGG